CACATTTAAAGCAGTGCCTAGGGGGAAACTTATAGCAATAAATGCCCACATGAAAAGCAAGGAAAGATCTAAAATCAACATCCTATCATCAAAATTCAAAGAGCTAGAGGAGCAAGATCAAATAAATTCAAAAGCTAGAAGAAGATAAGAAATAACTAAGATCAGAGCAGAACTGAAGGAGATAGAGACACAAGAAAACCCTTCAAAAATCAATAAATCCAGGAGCTGTTTCTTTGAAAAGACCAACAAAATAACCAGACTAATAAAAAAGAAAAGAGAGAAGAATCGAATAGATGCAATAAAAAAATGATAAAGGGGATATCACCACTGATTCTGCAGAAATACAAACAACCATCAGAGATTACTACAAACAACTCCATGCACATAAACCAGTAAGTCTAAAAGAAATGAATAAATTTCTGGACACGTACACACTCCTAAGACTAAACCAGGAAGAAGATGAATCCCTGAAAAGAGCAATAACAAGGTCTGAAGTTGAAGCAGCAATCAATAGCCTACCAACCAAAAAAAGTTCAGCACCACATGGGTTCACAGTTGAATTCTTCCAGACATGCAAAGAGGAGCTGGTACCATTCCTTCTGAAACTATCCCAAACAATACAAAAAGAGGGAATTCTCCCTAACTCATTTTATGAGACCAACATCATCCTGATACCAAAACCTGGCAGAGACACAGCTAAAAAAGAAAACTTCAGGCCAATATCCAGGATGAACATTGATGCAAAAATCTTCAATAAAATACTGGCAAACTGAATGCAACAGCATATCAGAAAGCTTAGTCATCACGATCAAGTAGTCTTCAACTCAGGGATGCAAGGCTGGTTCAACATACACAAATCTATAAATATAATCCATTACATAAAGAGAACCAAAGACAAAAACCACATGATCATCTCAATAGATGCAGAGAAGGCCTTTGACAAAATTCAACAGCTCTTTATGCTAAAAATCCTCAATAAACTAGGTATTGATGGAACATATCTCAAAATAATAAAAGCTATTTATGACAAACCAATAGCCAATATCATACTCAACAGGCAAAAACTGGAAGAGTTCCCTTTGAAATCTGGCACTAAACAAGGATGCCCTCTCTCACCACTCCTATTCAATATAGTGTTGGAAGTTCTAGCCAGAGCAATCAGGCAAGAAAAAGAAATAAAGGGTATTCAATTAGGAAAAGAGGAAGTCAAATTGTCTCTATTTGCAGATGACATGACTGTATATTTAGAAGACCCCATCATCTTAGCCCAAAATCTCCTTAAGATGATAAGCAACTTCAGCAAAGTCTCAGGATACAAAATCAATGTGCAAAAATCACAAGCATTCCTACACACCAGTAACAGACAAACAGAGAGCCAAATAATGAGTGAACTTCCATTCACAATTGCTACAAAGAAAATAAAATACCTGGCCAGGCATGGTGGCTGACGCCTGTAATCCAAGCACTTTGGAGGCCAAGGCAGGCAGATCACCTGAGGTCAGGAGATCGAGACCAGCCTGATCAACATGGTGAAATCCCATCTTAAAAAAAAAAAAAAAGAAAGAAAAGAAAACACCTAGGAATACAACTAACAAAGGATATGAAGGACCTCTTCAAGGAGAAATACAAACCACTACTCAAGGAAATAAGAGAGGAAACAAACAGATGGAGAAACATTCCTTGCTCCTGGTTAGGAAGAATCAATATTGTGAAAATGGCCATACTGCCCAAAGTAATTTATAGATTCAATGCTATCCCCATCAAGCTACCATTGACTTTCTTCACAGAACTGGGAAAAAACACTTTAAAATTCATATGGAACCAAAAGAGCGCCCTCATAGCCAAGACAATCCTAAGCAAAAAGAACAAAGCTGGAGGCATCATGCTACCTGACTTCAAACTATACTACAAGGCTACAGTAATCAAAACAGCATAGTACTGGTACCAAAAAAGAGATATAGACCAATGGCCCTAAATAAACTGTAAAGGCAGTCTAGGCTCCAAGAGCTGCAAGTTTTAGTGTTGAGCTGGGCTTGAAGACAGTGGACTTCCAGGTCATGAGACTTACTGAGTCACAAGCCGGGCATCTAAGGGAGTGCTTGCACTGCTACTCCTCCCCCCAACCCCAGCAATATAGCTGTGGCTCCAAAAAAGCCACAAAAGAGCCAGAAGCTGTGTTGCCTGGGGTTAAAAAGGGGCCAGTGCAAGCACTCCCTTTCCGCTTGAGGAGAGAAGAGGGAAGAGTAAAGAGGGCTTTTGTCTTGCACCTTTGACACCAGCACAGCCACAGTAGAATAATAGTCATAATTGTAAGGCCCCTATTCCAGGCCCTAGCTCCCAGGTGACATTTCTAAACACACCCTGGACCCACAGGGAACCCGATGCCTTGAAGGGAGGGATCTATTCCTGGCAGGATGCATCATCTGCAGGAGGCTGAGGCAGGAGAATGGCTTTAACTCAGGAGGTGAAGGTGCAGTGAGCCAAGGTTGTGCCACTGCACTCCAGCCTGGGAGACAGAGCGAGACTGTTGTCTCAGAAAAGAAAAAAAAATCCTAATAAGATATATCTGCCAACATTGTTCCGGGAAAACTACTCTGAAATAAGAGGGTCAATCAGCCTAGTTACTTTTCACATGTGTGTGCCCTTCTTTACCCTGGAGTAATTATCCCCTCCCACCTACAACACACACACACACACACACACACACACACACACACACACACACTCTCTCTCTCTCTCTCTCACATGCACACACACACTCTCTCTCTCTCAGTGTGTGTGTGTGTGTGTGTGTGTGTCTGTCTCTATTTTCCTCAGTATACATAACTTGTCATCTATAACGTCTCCTTGCTTACAAAGAAATATTATCTTAATATTATCCTAATTTTTCCTTGACTTGTGTCTATTTTTTTCTCCTACTCAAATGCTTCCTTCATTTCCATTTTATTTGCTCATCCCATAGGCACAAGCCTCTTTTTCCTTTTACCTCTGACCTCCCCATCTTCACTCTGAAACCCTCCCACCACACTCACTCTACACCCAATTCTTCAACATCTGTCATTCCCCTTTGCCCCATTCATCGACCATATCTACCAGAAAGTCTATTTCTTTGAAAACAAACTCTTTCTTTTTTTTAATTGCATTTTAGGTTTTGGGGTACATGTGAAGAACATGCAAGATTGTTGCATAGGTACATGCATGGCAGTGTGATGTGCTGCCTTCCTCCCCATCACCTATATCTGGCATTTCTCCCCATGCTATCTCCCCCCAACTCCCCACCCCCCACTGTCCCTCACCTATTTCCCCCCGACAGACCCCAGTGTGTGATACTCTCCTCCCTGTGTCCATGTGTTCTCATTGTTCAACACCCACCTATGAGTGAGAACTTGCGGTGTTTGATTTTCTGTTCTTGTATCAGTTTGCTGAGAATGATGGTTTCCAGGTTCATCCATGTCCCTATAAAGGACACAAACTCACCGTTTTTTATGGCTGCACAGTATTCCATGGTGTATATGTGCCACATTTTCCCTGAGGAGGACAAATTCTTTCTATCCTAAATTTATTTTTCACTTCTGTGCAGTTCACTCTAATAAAAATCTGGCTCTCTTTTAGATTATAAGGTGCCTTTTCCAATATAACCACTTACTTCCCTTACTTTCTCCGACTCAGTAGAAAAAACAACAGCCTTTTCCTTGCTCCCACATGGCATTTTCAGATGATCAGGCTGTCGTCTATTTCTCATTGTTTGAAATCTCTGCCCTATCCTACATTTCAGGGAACTATTCTTAACAATCCTACTTGAACGCACTGTTCTTTAAATCTGTCCTCCCATCCTTCTCTCTAGTCTTGGTAGAGATGATATATTAAGAGTCCATAATTCCATTTCTGTCAATGGTAACATATATGTACTTGGAGAGTATTACAAGAGCCAATAAAAATTAAGTATGTCAATGATGGTCACATGGCCAAGAATGGAATAAATTGGATAAGACATATGACTATTTCTGTGCTCCTAAAATAACTTCATCATTCTCCACAGTAGTCTCAAAGTTCTATAAGTTTACCTATTCTATCATTAGAAATATATCGTATTAACCTTAGATATAAACAACCATCTGCTTTTCAAAGTAAACCTTAGCATTAAAAGGTTGGAAGGCCTAATGATGGGTGTATAAGCAGTAGATAAGCTTTTCTCGGCAGATGTTCATTACTTGGAAAATCTTCTAGAAAGAGGATTCTCTCAAATATTCTTAATTTCAAAATCTTTGACTTTTCTAATCTAAGTTTTCCTGCTGTTTTCCCCTTGTACGGATTGGCAAAGAACAGGCACCATCCTCAGTATGGTATGACAGCATCTCATCTACTGGAAAAGCATTATTGTCACCCCTGAGCCTTCATTTTTCTAAGCTCAACAACTTGGACTTTTCTCCAGACTCCTGTTCTCCAAGACTAATTTTTTTTAAGAGATGGGGTTTCAATCTGTACCCAAACTGTGGTGCAATGGTTTGATCATAGTTCCCTGCAGCCTTGAACTCCTGGACTCACGCTATCCTCCTGCCTTAGCCACCTGCCTAATTTAAAAAAAAAATTATTTTTTGGTAGAGACAGGGTCTCACTCTGTTGCCCAGGCTAGTCTGGAACACCTCGGCTCAAGTGATCCTCTCACCTCAGCTTCCCAAAGTGCTGGGATTACAGGTGTGAGCCACTGTGCTCAGCCTAAAATTTTAAGTCTATTCATGTTATTTTTAAATTGCAAAGACCAGACTTAGACTTAACCAGCACTTTGTTGTTTCTGGTTTTCTAAGTAGTTAACATATAATTGAATGTAGTTCTAAACATACAGAATTGAAACCCACAAAATTAAAAATTACAGAATTTTCCATATTGCAGAGACTATCTATATTATCTCTTAGTTGAACCAAACCAATGATCTAGGATTATAATTAAGAAATTATGGCTAGATATATAGCCCCAAAACATTAAAAAGAATGAATACTTACCTGATCTGTCCTTGGATGAAAAATTTTCCTCTAAATTGCAGAGTAGAGAGGAACCTGGTTTTCTTTTATGGTTCACCACTATTTCTTCTGCTTTAATAGAATTTGTGGCCACTTTAAAGAAATAAGCAAAACCAGAATATTTATGTAACAATTTTAATAATACATGAAGGGAAGGAGAGTAGAACATATATGCAAAGTTCACATGAATGTTTTTCTTTTACTTAGCAATACCTCGTAGGACTTTTTAGTAAGAGGTGGAAGTTTCACTTTGTTGACATGTTTAATTTTTCCCCCTTTAACAACTTTTTAAGTTCCAGAAAAACTATTATTATTATTTCCAAATAAAAGGCTAGGAGTTGGGTTAAGAGGGAAATCAAATTTTATTAAAAGATTAGATGGTGGTAAAGAGTAAAAAGCCATTTCATACCATGCAAACAAGGATTTTGGAAGAAGGACAAGGAATTATATTTCTTTTATTATGGAAAGCTACTTTTTATGTTTTGTGTTCCCCCCCAAGAAAAAAATGTTACATGTATTATCACAATAGAAGCCTAATATGGCTTGCCATTTTAATAAGGTTGTAGTCTTTGTGGGAAAGAAGAGAGAAAAAGTAGTATACGACCGATCTTCCACTTAGAAAGTTAATTTTCCCAAAGAGCTCTTACTTTATATGGCACTAAGATCAAGGCAATAGCTCAGATCACCTTAATCACATCAAAGTGGCATATATTTATAATACAAATTTTTATTCAAGTCAGTAGTTAGAATGCAACAACCAATTCTTCAGAAGTGTATAGGCTTTCTGTAGTCAAACATAAAAGCTTTAAGAATCATATATTTGGTCGGGCGCAGTGGCTCACGCCTGTAATCCCAGCACTTTGGGAGGCCGAGGCGGGTGGATCATGATGTCAAGAGATCGAGACCATCCTGGTCAACATGGTGAAACCCCGTCTCTACTAAAAATACAAAAAATTAGCTGGGCATGGTGGCGCGTGCCTGTAACCCCAGCTACTCAGGAGGCTGAGGCAGGAGAATTGCCTGAACCCAGGAGGCGGAGGTTGCGGTGAGCCGAGATCGCGCCATTGCACTCCAGCCTGGGTAACAAGAGAGAAACTCCGTCTCAATAATAAAAAAAAAGAATCATATATTTTTGCAACTACAAAACATAAAAAGTTTATCTACCTTCAAATTTGATGCTGGTTCTTTATTTTTCTGATTCAGTTTTAGTCTGTTACAAAGTAAAAAGTCAAACTTTCTCCTTTATGTAAAAATAATCATAAAATCATAAAAATTTAGAGTTAGAAAAAAACCTTAGAGAACTTCTAGATGTACAATTCTCTCTAAATCAGAGAATTTCATTTATTTGCCTTACTCAAGGTTACAGAATAAATTGGAGCTGGAACCCTGGAATCCAGAATGCGTTTTCTACTACTTAATGATTCCTCAAACTTATTTAGGTACAACTTAGTGTACCAATGTGAGGCAGCGAGGCACCAGTGTTGAATTTAAAGTCTCTGAATCAGGCTGTCCAAGTTTGAATTTTACTAGCTGCGTGATCTTTTTTTTTTTTTTTTGAGACGGAGTTTCGCTCTTGTTACCCAGGCTGGAGTGCAATGGTGCGATCTCGGCTCACCGCAACCTCCGCCTCCTGGGTTCAGGCAATTCTCCTGCCTCGGCCTCCCGAGTAGCTGGGATTACAGGCACACGCCACCATGCCCAGCTAATTTTTTGTATTTTTAGTAGAGATGGGGTTTCACCATGTTGACCAGAATGGTCTCGATCTCTCAACCTCGTGATCCACCCGTCTTGGCCTCCCAGAGTGCTGGGATTACAGGCTTGAGCCACCGCGCCTGGCCTAGCTGCGTGATCTTAAGCAGGCTACTTCATCCCTCTGTGTTTCAGTTTCTTCATCTGTAAAATGAGATTGGGAATAACTATAATTTCCCAATGGGACTGCTATGAAAAAAATAAATATAAGTAAAGCACATAGAATGGTGTCTGCTATATGGTAAACATTCTGTAAATGTCAGCAATTACTAGAATTCTATCAATAAACCCATGGATACTTGCTAGGTTTGTTTATTTATTTATTTAGAGACAGAGCCTTGCTCTGTCACCCAGGCAGGAGTGCAATGGCACAATCTCAGCTTAGTGCAACCTCTGCCTCCTGGGTTCAAGCAATTCTCCTGCCTCAGCCTCCTGAGTAGGTGGGACTACCAGCGTATGCCACCACACCCAGCTAATTTTTGTATTTTTAATAGAGACAGGCTTTTATCATGTTGGCCAGGCTGGTCTCAAACTCTTGAACTCAAGTGATCTGCCCACCTCAGCCTCCCACGAGCTAAGATTACAGGTGTGAGCCACTGCACCTGGTCTGTACTTGCTAGGTTTTAAAATAGTCTAATTATACTACAATTGGAAGAGTGGATCATTTTTGAGTTTTCAATACACATATATGCACTTGCTGATATTCCATTTTGGCACAATTGTGTAGCCAAAGGAATGGTTCTTCATAGAGTACATGCAAAATTCCAAATATTAAACACATAAATGAATTCACTTAAAAACTGAATACCATTCACTTGGTGATCATATGGGCCCATTAATATACTTAGAATATCTGACATCCAGAGGGATTAAAAATTTTTTAGACAGGGTGTCACTCTGTGACCCAGGCTGGATTGCAGTGGTGCAGTCTTGGCTTACTGCAACCTCCCAGGCTCAAGCCATTCTCCTACCTTGGCTTCCCGAGTAGCTGGGACCACAGGTGCACACCATCACACCTGGCTAATTTTGCAAATATTTTGGTGGAGAAGGGGTTTCACCATGTTGCCCAGGCTGGTCTTGAACTCCTGAACTCAAGTGATCTACCCGCCTGTGCCTCCCAAAGTGCTAGGATTACAGGTATCAGCCACTGTACCCAGCCAGTGTGATCGTTTATTATTTCCTTTTCCTCTATGTAATAAAATAATTTTTCATGTAATAAAAAAATAGGAAAGAGACAGTGGAAATAGTTTTTTATTCAACTCCATTTATATACCAATAGAAAATAAAATACGTATTACAGTACTAAAGAGGAAATTGTAATGAAATTAATGTTTTCAAAAAATGAAAAACATATGCCTACATCCTGGTTTGTTTGCAGTACTAAAAAACATTACACCTCTTATTTTCTTGATTTCTTTTTTAGTTTTGAAGCAACTATTAACAATAAAAAAAGAAAAAAATTCAAAGTTAAGTATATTATTTGAATCAATTTTCAAGAGGGCGCCAGTTGCAGTGGCTCATGTCTGTAATCACAGCACTTTGGGAGGCTGAGGTGGGTGGATCACTTTAAGTCAGGAGTTGGAGACCAGCCTGGCAAACATGATGAAACCCTGTCTCTACTGAAAAAAATACAAAAATTAGCTAGGTGTGGTGGCGGGTGTCTGTAGTCCCAGCTACTCGGGAGGCTGAGGCAGGAGAATTGCTTGATCCCGGGAGGTGGAGGCTACAGTCAGCTGTGATCATGCCACTGTCCTCCAGCCTGTGCAACACGGTGAGGCCCTGTTTAAAAAAAAATTATTCAAGAGGATAATTTCATGAAACAAAAATATTATGCCTCAACGTCTGCACTGTGTTTCACTCTTAAATTTTATAAACAAAAACTCTAAGTGGTCGCATAGAGTTGAAGTCATCAAGCTCGGTTTCTTCATTCTTATGATCACTGTGCTACCATTGTTTACAGAGAACCTGCTTAAATGTAAGAATATGGACCACCAGGGTTGCAAACATGAATTGTGCCTTAGGTCTTGAACTACCCTGAACTTTTATGAGTTTACTTGGAAATAAATACAACAGCTGAATCTTCGTTTATTGAAGAACAATTATAAGCATGGGAGTTCTCTAATTTCCATGTAGAATATACTGTTGATTAAAAAATAACTAAAATGTGCTGATTTGAAGTTTAAACTCGTATACTAAAACTTAACAGAAACTACAGAAATTGTTTAAAATCTAGATCCATAAGAGATTTTTCATGGAAGACTATTTGAGTATTGACATGGTTTAGAATTATTGGTACATAAAAATTACTGGAAATAAAAAAACAGACTTTTAGTGGGTTTTTTGTAGTTTAACTTCTCTACAGATAATGAGAATTATTATTGTGCATACCGAAGATCTACCGTACTTACTGCCCCACCCTTGGTAGGCCATTCAAGGTAAAGTCTGCTCTAAGTACTATCTTTGAAGATGGGCTTGCTGCAGTAAGTATACTTAAACTACTTATTAGAAAACTTTACAATTAATGTTCATTAAGAGCCTACTGAGCACATGGTATTGTGCTTCATATTTCATTCACACAGACTGCATCCACATGAATGTCACTAGCTCCTAGACGATCTTATTTATTCACTAAAACCATCTCAGCAGGATTTTTTTTTAAAAAACCACTTAGCGATTATTGTGTGTACTCAAATTTAAAATAAATATCACACAAAGTCACATATATTCCATTTTCAGGCTTCTCCCAAGTCAGATTGACTTTCCACCTGTACATTCCAAATAAGAGAGGCTGTATTATAATTTAACATTTAGAATAGCTTTCAAAATGTTAACATTTATATCAACATTAACAATTTAAGGACTTCGGATATTTATTCAAATTTTCACAAATCATGTGGCATCAGATTCACGTGTTCTATTTTCACAGGCAACTATCTCAAGAGAACAAATTTTAACTCTGCTATGACTCTTTTTCAGACGTCCACAGGATCAACACAATCTCTAATCTATCCTCCCATAATCTTGCAAGCTACATACATGTACAAATTTTCCATTTACGTGAAAATTGACATAGATTTTCCGGGTACTCTTGAAAAGGCAGTCTTATTAACTAAAAGAAAATTGGACTTACCTCAAAAGATATCTTGGTACGGGATAGAATGTCAACTAGAGCCACATTAGAAACAAACAGGTATGCTTGGCAAGAAAGTGACATACCAAGGTTAAACCCGCAGTTCCACTCCTGCCTCACAGCTCCTATACTTTCCCGTGGTTACTAAGCTCCTTTACTCACAAAATTCCCTCTCATTAGCCACCTGCAGAGTACTGCAGCAGCACCTGTACTATTTATAGCTGTAGGATTCCCCACCCTCTCCGGTCAATAAGAATCACCTGGGGCAGTTAAAAATAAAAATCACAAGTCAATCTCTGATATCAGATTTCAAGAGGTTTGAAAGGAGGCTCCAGAATCCGTTTTTTTTTTTCTAATCAGCTGAATTTATGACTCACAGAATCTGATTTTAAGTAAGTGTTCCCAAGTGAGTCTTATAAGCCAGGAAAGTTCAAGAATAATGCTCCAAGTGAAAGTGAGATCTGTGGCAGATCGTCACAGTTCCTCTACACTGATTAGCCTCAAGAGCTAATCCTCCTCAGCTGTTAGGCCTTAGGGTATTTGAAAACAAGAGAAGGCCCAGTTTGAAGAAGGCAGAATGGCATCTTGTCCACACTTGATTTAAGTTTTCAACTAAAAAATTTATCAAAGGGAGGTTTTAGTTTGGGGAGGTGCTGTGAAGTAGGACATCACCAGGGGGCAGCATAAATTATACGTTTGGGGGTTTTTGACTTCACACTACAACCTGAAATGTTTGCACCTACAGTTGCCATGAACTCAGATTACTCAAAAAAGAAAAAAAAACCCAGAACACTTAAAAGACGTAAGTAAACGTTATTAGCGTGTAATTTTCAATAGGTGTTTATAAATAGCCATTGTAGAAAAAATGTTCCCTTGAAGTAGCATGAACCCGAATTCAAAAAAAATTTTATTAGAATACAAAGATTCCTGGCAGAAATTTCAAGTGGTCTTCAAATTTCTCTCAGCAAGTTTCAAAATACTTGTCGTAGTCTAAGAGTTAATTCGCGTTATAGCTGGATGCTTCGCAATGGTTTTAATCAAATCTTAAGTAGAATTCTACTAAGGGGGAAAACGGAGGGGATAATTTGGGCAAGTGATGCCGAAGCTTTTTCTAAATAAAGTGTAATAGTTAAAATGCAGTTACCGACTGTCAGAAAACAATAGCTCTACTCCCGTGAATCCTCCATTAATTTTTCTTAACCCATCTCCATGTTCTCTTTTCCAGTCCACACTTGTTCAGCCTAGAAATGTAGAAAAAATCCTTTGGCAACCCAAATAGCTTCTACAAGTATCACCTCCAAGTGTTTTTTTCCTCTGAAATTCCACCATTAGAGTAGGAAATGCTGAAAGGCAAGGGAGGATCTGAAGAAATTACATCTTTTTTCCAGTTCGCCAAAAGTAGATACTCCCTGTGTAGATATTCCCGTATAATCCAAGTAAGGTGTAATCCAAGACCCTGGGGCAATTCCATGAGGTGGTTTTGCAGTCTTTCAACTCTACCATTTCGATTATTTCCAAGCTAAAAAAGCTATGTCAGGAAGAAAAGACAAAAGGACATTTCCGGGAGACCAACTGGACCTAACCGAATAAAAACACTTTAGAAGAGGTACAAGAATCAAAAATCAAGGCTATCTGCAGAGCCAAAAGCCATTCTGAAACTTCGTGTCCTAGAAAGAAGGGTTTCCCATTTTTTCAAATATTTTAACATAAAAATGGCAACACCCTATAGGAAAATGGCTATGATTTTTAGCAAGAATTGGTGGAGAAGGCAAACGATAATAAGCTACTATGAATCCAGAAGCTGCTTAAATGGCCTGATTCACAGCAGCCCTTGCAGACATATTAGAGTTGTACGCATTATGTGTGAGGATTTTTTTAAAAAACGACAGAGAATATCTGTGGGTGCATCCAGATTGCTCAGTGGCTCCCCTTAACCCACTAACTGGGAGCCTGGCCCTAGGACGAGCTTCTTCACAGGGGCGATGCTGCCTCCAAGGGGCGCAATGTTACTCTTTTTATGCATCAAGCACAGATACACACAGCACATACGCAGGTCGACAGCGTTATCTGTGGTACTGGAATTTCATGAGGAAGGAGACGGGGGGCGTGTAAAAAGCCTTTTTAAGAGTGAGATTATGAAACAGGGAAAAGGAGAAACACGGTCCTACAAGGGTCCTGAGCAGAGGCCGTGAAATGAATGTACTGACAGGGTATTTTTCTCCCAGGTAGCGGACTGAGAGTCGGGGGGCTCTGACTGTGCATGACTCCGGCCACACAGAAAGAGGCGTTTTTCCCTCGGTGGCCTCCAAGCTCAGGGGGCACTCCGTGCCGTCCGCTCCCTCACGGGGCGCCCACCGCGGATGAACGCGGGGCACTGGGAAAGAGCTGTGGGAACGGCAGAGAGCTGCGCCAAAGCGACGGGAGGTTCCCATTCTCAGCGGTAAGAAATCCCCCGGGTCCTCCGCGCCCCGGAGCTGCGCCCTCGGCCTCCGCACTTGTTGCTTCCGCGCCCCGCCTGCCTCCCCCTCAGACCCACCCTTGGCGGCCCCCTCGCCTCTCCACACTCTCGTACTAGGGCTCCAACCCTGCCCCGCGACCCCCCAGCCACGCCATGAAGCCCGCGCACTGCGTGGCAGCTCCGGAGGCGGCCGAACCCCCGACCCCTGCCCCGCTCGGGCCGCCAGCCCCTGCCCGCCGACGCCGCGGTTTCCTAGACAGCCGCGCCGCCGTTCCGCAGCCTCGAGAGCGCGCGCGCGCGCGGCCGGCGGGAGGCGAGGGCGCAGGCGCGGGCCCGGCCAAGCCGCCAGCGCGAGACCGCGCGCGCGCCCCCGAGCACGGTGGGCGGAGGGGCGGAGGGAGCGGCGGGGCCGCGAGGGGGCGGGGGGGCGGAGAGGGGAGCCCCGGGAGCGCGAGCCGCGGCCGGCGCCGCTGCAGAGCCGAGCGAATCCCGAGCCCGGGCAGCAGGTATGTGTCCTCGCAGCCGGCCACAGCCGGAGCTTCCCCTGCCTCACTGCCCGAGTCCTGTGGTCGGGGCGGGGGTTGGGGGTGCCGGTCAAGGTTTGCAGGATGTGTGCCCGGAAGGGCTGGGATCTTGCCGCTGACCTTCATCCCCCTGGCCGGGGGAGCCAGGCGAGGGTGCGTGGGGCAGCCCAGGGCTTCAGCTCCAGCCTGGGGACCTGCTTCGTGTCACTTGCTTCTTATTTATTTTTGCAAACTGCCCTGGTTCGGGTCCAGCTGCCGATGCTTTACCTCCCATTCTTTGCCTCCGTGTGCCATCTTGCATTTATTAATAAAACATGCAAGTCGGAGGGGGGGGTTGCTGCTGGGGGGAATCCCATTGCAGTATGGTAAGCGAGCGCCTATTTTCGGTTTTCAGACGTGGTATAGAGGTGGAAATCCCATACCCTGGGTATTTGTGGCTTGGTTGGTCGTGACCACTTCCTAGTGGGCTTCCCCTGTTTGTCGGGAGGTGCCCCCGCGGCAGGATGGACTGTCTGGAAAGAATGGTGGGTTTTCACTGTCAAGCCAGAATCCCCTTCAGGGGACAGGTGCAAGCTAGGGCAGGCAGTTCCCTGCTTACTAACTTGCCAGGGAGGCTTAAACCTTGAAAATTTTCTCCCTTGATGGCCGAGAAAAGGCCTTTAACAGAATCCCTGGGACTTAGATACTCAAACTCATTACGGTTTTGCATCTGAACATGACTAAAGCTAGCCACCTGTTGGAAGTCAGACCCCATGAAGCCCCCCATAATCTAGCTCACTAATCCCTGTTTCACAGTCACCAATACTGAGATAGCAATAGGCCCATATAGGTTCTTTCTATCCTCTTTAATGCTGCCTGGCTTTTGTTTCTTTTAAAATAAAACTACCTATGATTTGATGCCCTATATGTTAGAGGTTGAAATTATATTATTTGTTTATATTCCATACACCTATCACATCATATCCTAAAGACTGAATTTCTCTTCAGTGCATATGTTTATTTCCCTGGCTTTTCACCTTGCTTTGAGCAACAGTGGGAAAAGTGGGATGTATATATCTGCTTACCTCCTCCCCCGACCCTAAAATATTGTGATGAAAAGAATAGTAAAGGCTAGAAGCAAAAAATGAAAGTGGGGTATCACAAGATGTTGGGATATGATAGCTGAACCGTTAATTGCTTCTAAAATATGTCAGAGTGTCACATCAAATCACGAGAAGGACACGTTTCTTCAGTGTTCATATGTACCAGGTACTGAGCTACAGCTATTTGTATATGATCTCATTTAGTCCTCACAACAAAGCTCTTATGTCCATGTTGAAGATGAACAAGCTAGGACTTAGAAAGGTTAAATAACTTGCCCAAGGTCACGCAGTCAGGGACAGGGTGAGGATGCAAACTCAGACTCATGGGAATACTAGAGGTGGGGAGCCCTGAGGGGGCTTTTAATCCAGGTGCTGCTGCTTCATGTATTTTTTCATTAAAATCAAGCTTATGCATGAGCACACTGGCTTGGGTCCGATTTTCCATTTCATAGATTCCACACCAACTCTATGGCTTTCCAGTAAGAAAAGCTGTTTTTCAGAATGGGTCAGTATGGAATTTTTTGAGGTGGCACTGAGCCTATAAAAAGTGGGGTCCAAGATGTGCTTCCATTTAAGTCTCCCATGCAAGGAGTTAAAGTTGTTTCCCTTCAGATTTAAACCTATGAAACATATGTGCATCAAGTAGAATGAATCACTCTCATTTTCCATGATCACATCCCACCCTACCCTTCTTGCTGCCCTGCATACTATCTTCTGGTCTCACTGCCAGTCATCAGAGCAACACTGCCTATCAAACTTGCCTGTGAATCCCTTAATGGGAGGAAGGAATCCATACCAGCCACGGATCCTAATCCAGTCTCTCTACAATTGTAGCAACTATGCTTTCAAAGTTCTTGGAATCTGTGCATTCAGCTATGGATGTATATTTAATCTTTTTTAAAGTACATTATTATAATGCAGTTATTGGATTTTGTTAGACATTCCTAGCAGTCCTCATGGACTTAGAAATTGCTGTAGTTGCATCAGTGAAAATTCACCCAGTGGGGCTAATAGCTTTTCTACTCAGGTCACATAGCTGAGATAGTGGAGAGAAAGGTTTAGGTAATGGAAGGAATTATTTGGAAACTATATCCCATGCAAAGTATAGCTTTTAATTATAAATTTGTGGATAATATTAGGTAGGAAATATAAGACCATCTCTTTTAATTCTGTAAGTTCTGTTTCTTCCCTTGGTCAATGTGATTGGTTCTAGAGCACCATGTTACCTTTTCATTACACTGTGTTCTTTTGAAACAGTTTAACAATTTGTACATAGCATTCTTATCTCATGGAAAACACTCCATTTGGGAAGGACACATTCCCTGGTGTTTACAGAAATGCTGAGACAGGATCTTTCTGTCTTGGGGATTTCCAGTCTATGATCAGATAAACTCAAGATGAGTCCTGATGTTACTGGGCAAGAAGTAGAAAACAAGAGATGTTGCTTGATTTCTGGGGAGGAAGTGAGTTTTCCTATGGGGCGCATTACTATCTTCCTCAGTTGAAAATCTCATGACTGAAGAGTGAGAAACTGACTAGTCTGTCTTCCATTCAAGCAGGATTTCATTTAATTCAGAGCTGAGAAGGCTTTATGGTGCAAAGGCCAATTCAGGAAATGTAAAAATGTTTCTGGACTACATATTTTTTTGTTTCTCCTGAAATGTATATTTAAGCTGGAGAAGTCATATGGGCAACTATTAATGCTTAAGCATTATTTTTTTATTCCCTTCACCAGAGTTTTTTGGGAAAGTGGGGAAAAAGTAAAAGTTTTCCAAGCTGTGAAACTCACAGGTCTTGTGGTGATTGATTATAATGAATATTTTAGTACATTGTTGAATAAGACACCAAGAACTGGCATATTTGTTTTCCTTGATTGACCTTGTAAGGTACTTTGTTGTAAAATGTGGTTTATCTTATAGTATTTCTTAATTTAGTATTCTTTAAAATGAGATTTTTTTTTCAGTTGTCGTGAATCACAAAGAAGTTCACAGATTAATTTGAAGTACTTGATTTTCATCAGTCTCTCTTTCTCTGCTTGGCAGCCATAGTAAGGGTTTTCATTTTCTTTAGAAAGTAGTTCACTTTCCATCCCCTTTCAAACAGACCCGGTGGGTGTTCACACGTGTTAACCAAGCATGCTTATCCCAGGACCTTTTCCTGTGATCCAGGTCTCATCTGAGATCCTAAGGCTTCCTTTGGCCCTTTTTTCACTCAGTTTTCCCATAGAGAAGAAGTAAGAATTGGATCACACCAAGTGGGCTTGGGTATAGGGTGGGATGGAGGCTACTCAGGACCAGGAGGTCAATTCTCCTGCACCAGCACCAGCCTATATTGTGATTTCTGCTTGCCAGTGTAATATGTGCTCATTGTAAAATGTTCAAACATTACAGAAATACAGAAGGTAGAAGCTTAGAGGTCCAACTTTTTGGTAATCTTACCCCTCAGCACTGACCACCACTAACAGTTTGGTGTCGATTCCTCCAGATATTTGAATGCCGAAGCTAAAATATTCCTGTTTTCCAGCAATACATAGATGTGTACCATTTTGCAGTTTGTTTTCTCACACTTGGACCTCTTGGAAGCCCTTGAGTGGCATACTTTTAAACACCTTTTACTCAATTGCACTGGGAGCTAGATGAGAGGAGCCCTGTAACCAGGGGAAGAGGAGGGTAACTGATGTTTGGTAGGTAGGAACATGTCGTGTGCTGTGTCCTGTGATAGGAATTTTCACATTCCTTATTGCAGTGACCACCCTTTGTGGTCAGCTGTTTATAGATGAAAAGTAGGGGAGCCCAAGGTACACGACCTAAGGGCAGAGCTGAAATTTGAGCCCAGGTCAGCATAGCTCAAACTCTGGGCTCGTTCCCTTTTTCACTCTAACTGCAGGATGAGGCACTCTCTGCCCCATAGTTCTCTGGGCTCCCATCCTATTCTGCTCCATCCACACTGGCCTCCTTGCTGTTCCCGCTGCCCCAGGCCCTTAGCACTAAGGGTTCTGTCCCCTGGAATACTCTTCCCACAGATAACTTCATGGTTTGCTCCCTCACGTCTTTCAGCTTTGCTCAGAGTCTAACCCACTCCCACAGGCATCCTATTCCTCCTCCTTGTCTTGCTTTTATTCATAGCACCTCCTAGCGTACTGTATTAATTAGTTAAGTTTCTCGCCCATCTCCCCCGTGGAATGAATGCTCCAAAGGGCAGGAGTCCTGTCTATTTTGTTCACTCCCCCAACCCTGGTACTGTGGAAAAAGAACCAACAAATCACTGTGGCATCCTTGAATCTTCCCAGCTTCCCACACTTTTTGTTTTTGTTAGTCCTTACTGTTCTCTGTAGTGAGCAGTGAAACCTCTAACATGCAAACGCTTTATGTTTTGTTTGGGAGAACAGCAAGAAAGTGGAGAAGAATCGGGAAAGATCTGTCTTACTCTTGAGCCAGTGTTGGGGAGAAAGGAACCTGTGAAGGTGGGAAAAAGGTCACCTTAGGGTTGGGATGTGTGATGAGACAGCAAAAGGTGCATGGGGAGATGGCCTGTGATGGAGAAGAAATCTGCGTGGGTTCCCTTGTATTGAGGGTGCATAATGTTTTTGAAGAAATTCCAAAGGAGACTCTGGATTCCTCCAGCCAGCCATCTACTGTCCCAGTCGCCTGAGTCACTAGAATGGAAAAGGAATCTATGGTCATTCCCACTGGCTGTTTACACAGACAGGTAAATCCTTGCACTGCCTGCATTAGCCTGTTGCATTTTTTTTTTTTTTTTTTTTTTGAGACAGAGTCTCGCTCTGTTGCCAGGTGCCAGGCTGGAGTGCAGTGGCACGATCTTGGCTCACTGCAACCTCCGCCTCCCGGGTTCAAGCAATTCTCCTGCCTCAGCCTCCCAAGTAGCTGGGACTACAGGCGCACGCCACCATGCCCAGCTAATTTTTGTATTTTTAGTAGAGACTGGGTTTTACCATGTTGGCCAGGATGGTCTCGATGTCTTGACCTCATGATCTGCCTGCCTCAGCCTCCCAAAAGTGCTGGGATTATAGGTGTGAGCCATCGTGCCTGGCCTAGCCTGTTGCATTTTTAAAACATTAAGTATCTGTTGGTATCATCCCTGTTTGAGCCAGGGCCTGAGAGCTCACTGCCAAAGCAGTTACCCTGTATGTCTGAGAAGCATCACCGCCTGAGATTTCTTTGGCGTACAGTCGCAGGAAGGACTCTACATATATCCTTCATACATCTATTGTTTGCAGTAGTTCTTGGGCGGCAGCAAAATCATAGGCACTTTGGGACTAATTCATCTATAGAACACTTTAGAATGGACTACACTGGGATGCTAAAGGGAGTTCATGGTTATGGGAAGAAGCCTGGGAGAAACTGCTCCTCAGCCGCAGGGAGGCCTCCTCTCCTTCTCCTGGTGGCTTTAATTGCTGCTCTAGGCTGTCTGAATTACCCAGCAGAAGAGGATTTCCCCTTCAAAAACACAGCCTCCCTAAAACTGCTTTTGATTTGTAACAGAAACTACTTAGTAGCTAGGATGGAGGCTTGATAACTCCTATTCCCAGAACTCATTAAAACAAGGAATTTTAATAAGTATTTTTGCCCTTTGCAGCCCAGGGTTTTAGAAGTCCAGGCAGCTGTTTTCCAGATTTCAGTGTCAGGCCATCACGCATGCAGTGCTTCCGCTTCTTTCCCTTGGCTCAAAACAGGTCTGAAGCAAGTTACTTTATCTATGATTCCTTCACACTGTCCCACCCTGGTTACACAATTGCCATTTTGCCCAGGCAATACAATGCATAAGGCTAATTAACCTTCTGCCCATGACAGTTTCCTCTGAAATAGTCAGATCTTTGATGCAGGGCTTTTAAAAAACAATTTCTATGACACTTAGGAATTCTCCTTTAACTATGACTCCTAAAATTTGTTAGCTTTGCCCATCAAAACAAAAGAACAAGGTAAAATATATTGCAATTCCTCCATAAAGAAAAGGTTCTGGCTGGGTGCGGTGGCTTATGCCTGTAATCCCAGCACTTTGGGAGGCTGAGGCGAGTGGATCACCTGAGGTCAGGGTTCGAGAACAGCCTGGCTAACATGATGAAACCCGGTCTCTACTAAAAAAAAAAAAAAAAAAATACAAAATTAACTGGGCATGGTGGCGTGCGCCTGTAATCCCAGCTACTGGGGAGGTTGAGGCAGGAGAATCACTTGAACCTGGGAGGTGGAGGTTGCAGTGAGCTGAGATAGCATCATTGCACTCAAGCCAGGGAAACAAGAGGGAAATTTGATATCCAAAAAAAAAAAAAAAAAAAAAAAAAAAAGAGAGAGAGAGGAAAAGAAAAGTTTCCACTGTTTTGGGACATGAAGAAAAAGCTTGAAAATTTCTCTCCTATCCCTCCCTGTCTTTTCACTGTCAGTTTCTACACAAGGCTTTATCTGCTATCCCTCGCCTTCTTGATACCCTGCAGGGAGCGCCTGCCCTCACTGCTCTACTAAACCAGAACTCTTAAAGGTCACCGGTGATTGCCTAATATAAATCCAATGGCTGTTTCTCAGATTTCGTTCATGATGGCTCAGCAACATCTGACCCCATTGACTTCCCCTACTCCTTGAATTGCTGTCTGTCGGCAGCTCCTTCCTAGCGGTGTCGGTGTCTATCTGGTTTCTCCTCTGCTGTCATCCTTCCTGTTCTATCAAGAAGCAGTCTGAAGTGGTTTAGAGTGTGGGTTCTGTCCATGATGTAAATCCTGGCTCAAGCACTTGCTAGAGTAGCTTTGAGTAAGTTATTTAATCCCCGTGCCTCAGTCTTCTCATCAGTAAAATGGGGAGAAGAAGAGTAGCTACAGCAGAGGATTAAATAGTGTGCTTAGTACAGCACCCAACAAATGCGATTTTTAAAAATCATATAACTTCCTGTTATGTGATAATATCCTATAACTTCAGGATAAAACCCTAATGGCTCCCTCTGGTCATCAGGACCTCTAAGATTCCACACACCCTTCTCAGTGTGCGTCCACTTCTGAGGCTTTGTCCCTTGCACTCCCTACTGAACCACATTCACCCCTCCCTCTTCTGCCCCTCCTTCCCTGGCCTGAGGAGGGAAGAATGCTGAGGGCTACCCCTGCCCAGGAGGCAGCAAGCACAGCCTGCTTTGTAACAGAAGACAGCCTCCCTTGGGCATAGAGCCTGTCACCCTCACACAGAGTATGAATTACTTAAGAACACCAGCTGTGATTTATACTTTTACAAAATATCTTCCTCAGCATTTAGCACTATACCTTTACACACAATGGGAATTTAACTCGTATCTTTTAACTGCCAAAACATTATAGTTTTACTTGGCCCTTCCAAAATCCTTTTTCCTCCTAAATTGAAACCTGTATTGATCAGTCCTGGAGCCCATGTAAGCTTGATATGGGATAATTGAGTCAACCCCACAGGGAGAGTTACCCATGTTGGAACCTTTTTTGGAATGAAGAAGGATATTTAGAAATAATTAAAATAATGGGAGTACAAGGAATAATAATTTTTTTTGCCCACCTGCAACTGTCTTGATCGAGTTATAAGGGAATAATAATTTAATGCTTTTAAAAAGTAGCTTGAAGTCCTGCCAACCTATAAAGCTGTTAGAATTTTTAAGAAGCGTTTAGGAGTTTTTTCTATACTCTCTATTCTCAGAGTAAAATGAGCTGTGAAGGTGTGAGCAGCAAATCTATCAGCCCTTCAGACCTTGCCATATTCCTGCTCCTGAGCCTCTGTGTTCTAGTCCTGCTTGCTTTCTCCTTCCTGCCCTGGTGAAGAGGACATTGAAGTTGGATGAAAATCAAAGGAAGGGTTGCCTACTTAAAAAAAATGAACCCCTTTACTGGCATTGTGGGTTGGCATGGTAAAGACAGCCTAAGTTTTCATCAGCATCTGCTGTGTGTGTGTCCCTGGGGTCATGAAGACAGCCCTAGCTATGCTGACAGTAGAGCAGCTTCCCACCCCGCAGCCCTGGAAGCCATTACGGACCATGTGCTTTGCATCTTGAGATTCCATAGCAGAGTTTCTCCACTTCAGCACTGTTGACACGTGGGGCCAGGTAGTTCTTTTTTGCAGGGGCTGTCCTGTACATTGCAGGGTATTTAGCAGCATCCCTGACCCTCACCCAATAGACGCCAGTGGTACTACCACGACCACCCCCCAACCTCAGTGGTGACAGGGGTAAAGTAGGACTGACAAGGTACTTTGTGCTTTGGTGAAAGGCCACAATTGCTCAGTAATCTTCATGGCTCTTAGAAAATTTAGCTGTAGACTTGTGGTTTAAAAGCCACCTCCAATTGACAGTCATGATATGTTCTCTCTAAATGCAGTAGCAGAAATTGCATGCCGTACCCAAAGGCTAAAAGTGACAGTTAAGGACATGCTTTCTGAAAAACTTTAAGGCTCTGACTTTGGGAGAGACCTGATTTGGCCAGTGATTACCTCTGTCTTGTTCATTGTGTTAGGGAAGGGAAAGTGTTTACACAGATGATCTCCAAAATGCTCCCTACGGATAGTCTAGAAATAAGCCTTGTGACGTTTCTTGAATCAAGGAGGCAAGGTAGAATGACTAATTCCGTGGACAACTGTATCTTCAGTGTTTCAGACTTGTGCCAACAGGTGGGAGGAACTCCAGAGGTCATATCCAGTCCTATGGACTGAATTGCATCCCCTCCAAAAATATATGTATGTTGAAGCCCTAAATATATGTATGTTGAAGCCCTAACTTATGTATGATAAGTCCCCAATGTGACTTATCAGGAGATAGGGTCTTTAGGAGATAATAAAGGATAAATGATGTCATAAGGGTGGGTCCCTAATCTGCTAGTACTGTCCCTTTCTAAAAAGAGGAGGAAAGAGATATCTCTCTCCTGCTTCCATGTGAGGACACAGTGAGAAGGTGGCTGTCTACAAGCCAGGAAGAGAGCCCTTACTAGAACTTGACCATGGTGGCTTCCTGATCCAGGACCTCCAGCCTCCGGAACTGCAAGAAAATAACTTTCTGTTGTTTAAGCCACCCAATCTATGATGTTCTGCTATGGCAACCTGCGCTAACTAATACACCCAGCATCCTCATTGTACAGATGAAGAAACTGGATGCAGACAGGTAGACTTGCAAGTGGTCAAGCTTCTAATGAGTGGCAGGGCCGGAAACTAGAGCCTCTGCTTCCTGATGCCTAATCCAGCGTACATTCTTCTTCCCGCACTTTCTCCAGTCATATGGTCCTCTTACTTATCATCTCTACAACCTATGCCACATCATTTCCATGAGCATCGGGGTCCGTATGCTTGCCCTGCTTATCTCAGTATTGTTGCAAGGATCAGTCGCACAGTAGAAAAAGGATAGTTCCTAAACTACAACATATTTTGCAAATACGTCAGACTCAACTCAGATTCAGCCTAGTTAGCAGGAGTCCATCAGCCTCTGGAAATTGTCAGTCTAGTCAAGTAGGTAGCTCTGTGAGGTCACACTAGGCTAGCTTGACTCATGGGTAGGTTGGCTGTTGGCTTTAGGGAATAGATCAGAGGACAGAGAAGGCAGGAGGAGATAGCTCCTGGTTTGGTGATGGACCACCTCAATCGAGGTGAATCCTCTTCTCTTTGGTTGAGTTGTAAAAGCTGAGGTTAATATGAGTTTGCATAGTAAGAGGAATGTTTGTCTTAAAGAGGACAGACCATCGGAGCTGGAGGAGGCCTTGGAAGTTTAAGCTACAGCCAGAATCTCTGGTGTTAAGCAACAAGAACATACCCTGATGGGCTGGGCATGGTGGCTCATACCTGTAATCCCAGCATTTGGGAGGCCAAGGTAGGCGAATCATCTGAGTTTGAGTTCAAGGAGTTCGAGATCAGCCTGGTCAACATGGTGTAACGCAGTCTCTAGTAAATACAGAAATTTTTGCATAGCATGGTGGTGCACACCTGTAGTCCCAGCTACTTGAGAGACTGAGGCAGGAGAATCACTTGAACCTGGGAGGTGTAGTTTACAGTGAGCCAAGGTCATGCCACTGCCCTCTAGCCTGGGCAACAGAGTGATACTCTGTCTCAAAAAAAAAAAGAAAAAAGAAACCTACCCTGATGAACTTCAGTAGTAATGACAGTATATAAACTATTAAATATTGTACAGTTGTAAATACCATTCTCAGCTCAACTTTTATGGCATTTTTTAATATTGTGCAACTTTTATTATATTTATTGAATATTCATAATATAGAAGTAGATCAGGAAGGGTATGTTTATCTGGAAGTAAGAAAATCAGAAAAACAGTGGCTTTTGTAGGTGGCTGTCTTATTTTCATTGTGTAATAAGTTTAGAGGCAGCAATCCAGGGCTTGTCCGGCTGCTCAGGGATGTCATCAGCGGCTGAGGTTCTATTTAGCATTTTGTTCAGGGTCATGGATGGCTGTTTCACCTCCAGGCATTTCATCTGTGTTCCAGTTAGGAAGAAGGAGGAGGGGTGAAGATGAAGCATGAAAGCCTTGATCCTTCTAGCTCTTGCCTTCATATTGGAAAGGGGACTTATTTCTTCATTTTATTCATCAGAACTGTATCACATGACTCCTTCTGAATGATAAGGAGTCTGGAAATTCAACTATTTTGCTTTCTGCGCTCTAGAATAGAGGGAGACAAGGAAGAAAGGAATTGAAATGGGGCCTGTGAGCCAGGCATGTTTATGACATAAGAACATGGCATTTCTGCAGAATCATAAGGTCTCAGAGAGCCAGCTCAGAAAACAAGGGTGGCCAGGCACAGCTCGAGAGCTCTGGGCCACCCACTCCCTGTCAACACTGCCATACCTCTGGACTCACTCCACCGCAGCTGGGCTTTTGCGTTCTTACTAAGGATTCAAAGTTCTTTGCTGAGTCCAGGTCGCATTCCCATACTAGAACGACATGGCAAGGGTAGGGAGAGAGACAGTATGTCCCCTCCCACTTGGGCTTCTGTAATGGGAAAGAGGGGACCTTGCCAGCCACCTATCTTGATATATTCCTCCAAATACAGAGGGTCCTCCAATGCTAAGCCACCAAAAATGACAAATATTTACCCTCCCGCTGTTTTACAGATGTGGAGTCTGAGGCTCAGAAAGAGGAGAGTGCTCAGTCAGTGCCAAATAGTTGGTGAAGGACAGACTCAGGAGTTAGTCTTACCCTAACACGCTCAATCTGGTTGGTCCCAGGGAAGCAGCCACTCTCAGAATCTTTTCCTGAGGCTCCTTGACATTCCCTGTGATAAAGGGAGTTGTCTGGAGAGGCAGCCCCTCCTTTTTCCAGAAGCTCCTGGGTAGATCCCTTGCTCCCCCGGGAACTTCCAGCAGCTGCTTTCTCTTTGTGTAGTGCTGAGGCTTTACAAAATTAAGAAGTACCTCCTCCCTGCAGACAACATCCAGGATTCCTGTCATGGATTGTCCAATGGGATATTTTGTGAAGATGCTAGGTGGTAAGTATTCCCGCCTTCTGAAGAGGAACAGCTAGGCACAATCCCACAAGATGTAATCCTAGCACTTTGGGAGGCCGAGGCAGGCAGATTGAGCTCAGGAGTTTGAGACCAGCCTGGGTAACACAGTGAAACCCTATCTCTACTAAAATACAAAAAGTTAGCTCAGCGTGGTGGTGTGTGCCTGTAGTCCCAGCTACTCGGGAGGCTGAGGCAGGAGAATCACTTGAACCCAGAAGGTGGAGGTTGCAGTGAGCCAAGGTCATGCCACTGTACTCCAGCCTGGGCGACAGAGTGAGACTCTGTCTTGAAAAAAAAAATGCTGAACTGTTCTGGCCATGCTTACCCACCTTCAACCTATGTGAAGGAAAGATGAGGCATTCAAGGAGAGTTGAGTCACTGGGCAGAGTGTGCGGGAAAGTATGATCGTTTGTTCCTACTTCTCCCAGTGTGGGTGGGAGAGGGCTCCAAGAGCACCTCTCTATTTGGTGTCCCTAACTCAGACGCTATGAAGAGTCTCATAAAGGCCTCTTGAGAAACCACAGCTGCATCCCATGGAACATTCAGCATCTGGACACCTTGCAACCCAGAGAATGCTGTCAGCCAAGGGAGAGCTGCAACCAAGTGTGAAGACTTTTGCCCCTTTACTCTTTGGTCCCCACCACCCCTACCCCAGGCCCACCACTGACCCTGGAAAGCAAGCAGCAGTGGGGGACAGGGAGGAGGAGAGAAAGAGCAGGCTTCCTCCCCTTCCCCATTGCAAGACCTCCAGCTGTGCTCAGTCTTAGCCAGGACAGGGGGAGGAGATTTCAATGGGTGTCAAGTTGAAGATTTGATTTAAACCAGGTGCAGCTTTTTTTTTTTAAACACCTGAAAGTTAACCTTAATTGAGGTTCTTGAATTGTGAGTAACCAGAAGGCTATGAAGTCTGTCAAAGTGATGTCAAGGGGCAGGGAAGAGAGAGCCAACAGGGCCAGTTTGAAGATGAGGTTTTGAGAGAAATAAACATATTTCCAGTTGTAACCATATTCAGATGGTTACTAGTTACTCTCCTTTTCCAAAGATGCCATTCCAGGGTTTCGAAAAGAAGCACTGGACTGAGGCCTCAGGACTTCCTGAGTCTAGTCCCAGCTTTTAAACAAACTAGGAGTGAGCCGCTGGACAAGTCACTTCACTTTTCTGGGTCGTGGCATCCTCTCCTGTCCAATGATGGGATTGGGCTCTGTGGTCTAGGGAGCCCTAAATAATTTCTCTACTTTTTTTTTTTTGAGATGGAGTCTCACTCTGCCAAGGCTGGAATCTGGAATGCAGTGACCCCATCTTGGCTCATGCAACCCCTGCCTCCTGGGTTCAAGCGATTCTCCTGCCTCAGCCTCTCGAGTAGCTGGGATTATAGGTATGCCCCACCATGCTCAGCTAATTTTTGAATTTTTAGTAGAGATGGGGTTTCATCATGTTGGCCAGGCTGGTCTCGAACTCCTGACCTCATAATCCACCCGCCTCGAGCTTCCAAAGTGCCGGTATTACAGGTATGAGCCACTGCGCCTGTCCTTTTTTTTTTTTGAGTTGGAGTTTTGCTCTTGTTGCCCAGGCTGGAGTGCAATGGCATGATCTTGGCTCACTGTAACCACCGCCTCCTGGATTCAAGTGATTCTCCTGCCTCGGCCTCCTGGGTAGTTGAGATTATAGGCATGTACCACCATGCCCAGCTAACTTAGTAGAGATGGGGTTTTACCGTGTTGTTCTCAAACTCTTGACCTGAGGTGATCTGCCTACCTTGGCCTCCCAAAGTGCTGAGATTACAGGAGTGAGCCACTGTGTCCCACCTTTTTTTTTCTTCTTTTTTTTTTTTTAAATTTGAGACTAAATCTCACTCTGTTTCCCAGGCTGGAGTGCAGTGGTGCAATCTTGGCTCACTGCAACCTCTGCCTCCTGGATCAAAGTGATTTTCTGCCTTAGCCTCCCAAGTAGCTGGGATTACAGAGATCCGCCACAATGCCTGGCTAATTTTTGTGGTTTTGGTAGACATGGGGTTTCACCATGTTGGTCAGTGTGGCCTCGAACTCCTGGCCTCAAGTGATCCACCTGCCTTGGCCTCCCAAAGTACTGGGATTACAGGCATGAGCACTGCACCCGGCCTAATTTCTCTACTTCTGTACACGGTGCAGTTCCTTAAAACAGCAGGACAAAATAATTCACACAGTGAGCTGGCTTTACAAATTGTACTTCGGTTATATTTGTTGGAAGAGTCAAGCGTAGATGAATGGCATTTGGCAGAAGAAAACCTTAGCATATCTGAAACCCTTAATTATACACTGTAGGCAGCTTTGTAGCTTGGTCTATGTCAAAAGACACCACACTATCAAATGACACACTGTAGAAATATTCAGAATTTTGCAACAGCTTGTTCGTGTGTGACATGATTGGCCTATGTCAGAGAGTTAGCATCTGCGTTTCCACCTGAGTCTGCATTTGAAAACCCGAACTCTCCTGGCCTCTTGTCCAGTTCCTGTGGAGATGAGTCCATTGAAATTGACTGTACTCAATGGGATGTTTGAGGCCAGTAGTTTGTGACACATGTTTTATTTTCAGATTTTGTTTGTAGTTGAATACTATTGCCATACCAGGTGTAAGTTTTATACACAGCTTTTCATGTGTTTTTATTGTATAATACATAAAAGGCGCACATAAATTGCATTATTCACATAATACATAAATTAGAAATGCTTTTTTTGCATTAAGAAAAAAAGTCGTCTATTATCCTGTTAGCTGTAGATAATTATTATTCACCTTTTGTGCCTCTCCTTTCAGACTGGTTATTCATATGCACATATCTGTGTGTGAATGATTTTTTATTTTTCATTTTTAATTGTAAAATATGCATAATATGCAGTTTACGATATTAACTGTTTTTAAGTGTATGGTTCAGTGGTGTTAAGTGCGTGCATGTTGGTGTGCAAACGTCACCATCATCCACGTGTGGAATTCTTTTCACCTTGCAAAGTCAAAACTACCCATTAAACACAAAAACTCTGCTCCTCTACAGTTTTGCATCACCCCCATGTTATGCTATTGACATCTCAAATTACATCCTTACATAATATTTTACAATATGCTTTAATGAATTATATGTCCAGTTTAATAACTTGCTGAGGACGGCAAAGAGGACTGTGGAGTGAGAATGCTGAGATTAAAGGGATAGGATAGCCACTAGGCCCGGCTAATTTTGTATTTTTTAGTAGAGACGGGGTTTCTCCATGTTGGTCAGGTTGGTCTTGAACTCCTGACCTCAGGTGATCCGCCCTCCTCGGCCTCCCAAAGTGCTGGGAAAGGGAGATTTTAGGGACTTGTAGACCACGGTGCAGATTTGGATTTCATAAAATTTACAGGGACACCTTTGGAGTATTGACAGCAGAGGAGCAGCATGGCTGAGATGGTTTGGGAAGAGTCACTTGGCTGTGATGTGGAGGTAGACCCCAGGGGGAGAGGAGGAGTCAGAGAGGCACGTAGGGACTGTTTCAGTAACCCAGGTAAAAGATGGGGGAGCTTGGCCCAAGGTGCTGCCAGTGGAAGTGGGACACGGGGTTGGATTCTGGATATATTTTGAAGGTGGAGCTGGTAGGATTTGCTGATGGATGGGATGTGGGGTGGGAGAGAAAGAAAGAAGTTAAGATTAACTTCAAGGTTTTTGGCCTGAATAATTGGAAGGATAAAATTGCTATTTATTCCAGTGGAGATGGAGGAGGAGCAGATTTTAAGTAGGGGGAAATAAAGAGTTCTCTTTCAATCATGTTACATTTTGCAGTCTGTGAGACATCTAATTGAAGATGTCAAGTAGGCAGTTGGATAAGCAAGTCTCAGGTTCAGTGGAGACGGTGGGGCTGGAGATAGAAATTTTATAGCCAGGGTATGTGGATGACATTTTTTTTTTTTTAGAACGAGTTTTGCTCTTGTTGCCCAGGCTGGAGTGCAATGGTATGATCTCGGCTCATGGCAACCTCCACCTCCCGAGTTCAAGCGATTCTCCTGCCTCAGCCTCCTGAGTAGCTGGGATTACAGGCATGCGCCACTAGGCCCAGCTAATTTTGTATTTTTTAGTAGAGATGGGGTTTCTCCATGTTGGTCAGGTTGGTCTTGAACTCCTGACCTCAGGTGATCCACTCACCTCAGCCTGCCAAAGTGCTGGGATTACAGGCGTGAGCCACCGCACCCTGCCATGGATGATATTTTGAGCCATGACATTGAGCTCACCTTGGCCCTGGGAGAGGAGATAGATGGAGAAGAGAAAGGGGCTGAGTAATGAGCCCTGGGGCATGGCAACACTTAGAGGTCTAGAGGAGGAAATTGAGAAGGAACATTCAATGAAGGGAGAGGAAAACCAGATGGTGTGGTCTCCTGAAATCCAGGCCAAATAGTGTTTGAAGGAGCCATAAGTGATCGGTTGTGTGTAATGCGCCTAAGAGGTTGCATGTTTTACTTGGCAATATGAAGGTCATGGCTTATGTTTAAGATGAAGCTTCAGACGCCAGGGTCTATGTCTACTTAATGATACGACAAGTTGGGGACTCCTCAATCAGGCAATTCTCCCTCATTTTGTTACTTCATTAATTCAGCTGACATTTATCAGACCCTTTCTATGTGCTTCACCCTTCTAGGCACAGAGAGTGATCAAAATGAATAACACCACAGCCCTTGCCTTTAAAATAGGTTAGGAGTCTGAGACTTAGGTACATAGGAGAGTCAGATCCAAGTCTCATGATTCTTAGGGTTCTTTTCTCGTTTATCACTTAGATTTTTTAATTGGGGCTGTATTTTGTCTACACAAATTCTTCACCAAATTCTGGAGGAGAATGAGGAGAAGGCAGTTTTTTTTTGTTTTTTTTTTTTTCTTTGAGATACAGTCTTTCTCTGTGTCCCAGGCTGGAGTGCATTGGCACAATCATGGCTCACTGCTGCAGCCTCCGTCTTCCAGGACCAAGCAATCCTCCCTCAGCTTCCTGAGT